GACTTCAGACTTTATCTTAAGGCAAAGGAAAATTAAAGCATTTTAAGCATAAAATATCATTTAAAAAAATCATTTTTGTTTCTGTGTGGAGAACAATTGGAAGGAACCAAATCCAGAAGAAGCAGGGATACCTTAACAGAGCTACTGCAGAATTTTAGGTGACTGATTATAGCCAGTATCAGAGTAAGAACTGTAGTGATGGAGAAAAATGGATGGATTCTAAACTTAATTTCCGATTTCAAAAAAGGGAAAAATTTATGCTACTTTAGAAAGTTTTAATTGGAAGCCAAATTTAGTTGTCTATAAAGATAAAAAAAGCTTAATTTAACAAAACTACTAAAAGATTACAAAACTATATCAATTTCCTAAAGTTTTATGGTTATTTAAAGAAATTCCAGGTAAAGATATACTATTTGCAGAAAAAATCGATTGTTGGGTGAGTTAAAAGTCTAATTCTTAAGGGCCATAATAATCATATACATTGTATATTGACAAAATAAAAATTTAAAAAAATAAAAAAAATAAAATAAAAAAATAAAAGTCTAATTCTTAAGGGCCATAATAATCATATACATTGTATATTGACAAAATAAAAATTTAAAAAAATAAAAAAAATAAAATAAAAAAATAAAAGTCTAATTCTTACCTTAAAAGACATTCCCAGCTGTTAGTCAAACTACAGAATCACAACATTTTCTTTAACTGCCATCATAGATTTCATATAGAATTTATACACTCAAGTGAAAGCTGTTCTTTAATCCTGGTGGCATGCTAGGTATTTTGATGCTGCTGTCAATACTTTTTCAAATCACATCATTCCCCCACCTCTTAAGAAAATAATAGTGTAGAAGAGGGAGGGAAGAGATACTAAGGAGATTGAGTTGATTTAGGACTATAGGCACAGCACCAATGGTCTTGGGGATGGGCTAGGGGTATAGGGATGTTTCAGAGAAACTATCAAGATTTAGAGGTCAAGTGGATCTGTGTGGGGAGACTGAATGTGTACTTGTGAGAAGTAGGAATCAGGAGTGGGCAAGTAAAGGATGACTTCAGAGCATGTGCTTAGGACATTTTAATTCGGAAATATATTTGTATGTCAGGGTTATGTCTAGGTGTCTAGAAATTGGTGTCTTAATTATAAATTTAAGAGTCATCAGCACAAGGGAGTGACTAGTCCTAAGTGAACGAGGTTACTAGTGAGAGGGGCAAACTTACAAGATGGCTGCAGTGAAATCATGGGGGAAGCAGAGGTGGAAGGGAGCTCAGATGCAAAGATTAAGACAGAGCAGTGTCATAGAGGCCAATGGAATAGTTAGTTTCAAAGGCTTTTGGTGGTAGCTGATAAGGGAAAAATGACATTCAGAAGAGGTTAGAGCAGGGATCAGCAAGCTTCTTCTGTAAAGGGCCAGATAGTTTATAGGCTTCGCAGGCCAGAGTTTAGCTCACAGGTCATACAAAAACAACAGTAGCTTGCCAACCCCTGGGTTAGAGACACATCAAGATTTTAAGTGTTGAGAGTCTTTACAACTTCTGTTTGAAATGAATCCAATGTCAGTATGATTACTTTGTCCATTATGGGCATTCGGGGCTTAGAAACAGAGGCTGAAGACTGGTAAGCTGGTGGAAGAAAAATTAAGGATGCTGCTAAGATTGTGATTAAATGACTGCATATGGGAAAGGATATCAAGTGAGCAGGAATCTGAGACTG